ATTCACGCGCGTGGCGCAATAGAATTGGAGCTTTGAATCTTATTACATATACTTATATATATAATAGACATAAAACATAAACTAATAACAACAAAGTGGCCGATCATGATCAAACACACATGTACATGAGTACATCACTTCATCAAAATACTTGATTAGCTTATCAACAGCCAGATTCAAAAATTTCATAACCATTGACCAAGAACATTGTCAAAGAATTATTAATAAAGGTTAGTTTAGTTGGTGAAAATTTAACTCATAACTTACAAAGTAGTGAGATCAAATCTCATTGCTAATATAAAGAAATCGTTAGTGAACAGTCTGTAAATACTCTTTGAGCCTTGAGGTATGCCTTGAACTTGATGAGTTTCTAGGACCTAACTCACATAAATTTTCTTATGTAAGAAAAAAACAGTCAAAGAACTTGTAATGTTGAAAGTTGAAGCAAGTTTTGATAACTTCACGCCTTAACCAATTTCCATGCATCTTGCATCAATCTAGTTTAAGAATTCCATGGTGATGATATTAATCTCATTGTTACTGACAACATTCCTAATCATTCTTCAAGCAAATCATTAAGGAGACAAGAGATTTGATTAATGCTGATTACAAGAAAAATCCAAATATTATATATATATATATATATATATATGAGATATCTCAATTCCAATGACAATTTCATTAGATATCTCACAACTAAAATCCTTTTCCACCACCACCAAACCGTTTTCAGGATTATCAATGAAACAGACTGTTTATCCTGTCAAGAACTCCTCAATATAAGCGAAGATTTTTTTAGGAAAAATGATAGTTAAGTCCTAAAAAATTGAATTTATAATACTTAGATTTTCAATCAATTTTTTAAAAAAATTAGTTGCAAACATAAGTTCAAAGTTATATTTTGAATTTAAATATTTTGTATGCAATTTAAACTACTGAATTTATAATTATTTGAATGAATATTTTAAATTTTTCAATATTTTACCACTTAACAGTTCATGCTCCCCGTTTTCTAAGCGAATTTGAATTTGAAATATTGGAGATTTTCTTTCTCCGGCACGATGACAAATGCAGGGGCTGGAATCTTTTTTTGACTTTGAAACAAAATCTTGGTCGGTGTCCAACTCAAAAAAACACACACATACACACAGATGCACACACATATGATGAGCAGCTAGGTTTGCTTCAGTCATTATCTAGAGATGGTGGGTTAGTTTTTTTTTTTTTTTTTGCCACGGCGGGCCAGGTTCAAATTGGAAAAAAAAAAAAAGTTCAACCGTTTATTTCTTAATTATATACACATGCACATATGACTTTCATCATTTTTTTAAAATTTTCGTCCAAAAAAACAGTTAATTGACGATATTGAGGTGAATAATTGCGAGAGATCTTTGCCTCCTATATATATTTGATCATGACTTGTAAAATGCAAAAATTAAAATAGTAAATATTAATTTTAATGATGTCTTGGATTTAGAAAAAGAATTCGCCCCTCGCTTACCATCAATTATTACGTTAAAGTTTTAATTATTTGAATTTAAATTGTGTAAATAAATTCTCCATAATATTCTATCATTTTAGTCTATAAATGAACAGATTAATAGCATGACGAGTGTTATTGTGTATAAATGTAAAACTCTCGCAGGGTTTATTGTAACTTGTAAGGTTTAAAAAACTAAAGAGGTTATGCTCGAATAATTAATCCAATGTTTAAAAAGATTATATATTACATAACGCAATATTAATTTCCCGTTAGCGTGTCTTTTTTTTTGGGAAAAAAGGATTTTATATAATTCAGCCTTAAAAAATTAGTTCAGGCAAAAAAAGGGCTTAAAAATAATTAGCCTTAAGAAAATAAAAAATGAAAAATTAAACGTCATCACTCATCATCATACAGATGCTTAGTATTATTTTGGTAAGTAATGGGTTAGAATCTGCTGACAGCGGATGTTAACTCTGACGATGCTAGGTGCAAATGACGGCGGACATGAGAGTTGGATCAGAACTTGCAAATAGCCAATAATTTAAGTCAAAATTATTCAAATCAAGTTTACTTAAATTAAGTTAAAAATATTATACTTTTTTAAAAAAATTTATATAACTAAATTTGATTTTAATTTTTTTTGGTTAGATTTAAATTTGGCTAAAATTATTTATTCTACATATATATAGAAATTAAAATTTTAAAGGTTAGATTTATTCGAATTAGACTCACTTGAGCTGGGTTTATTATGATTAGGTTTAAAGTATCTTACCCCTTAAAAAAGCCCATATAATCAATTTTAATTTTAATTTTTTTTAAGATGGGTTAGGGCTAATCTGTCGAGCTTGATCCGAATTAATGACTCTACCTTCAATCACTCAAGCCAATTTTAGCTAGTACATGCTTACCTCTTGAAGTTACTTTCCTTGCATTTAATTGATAACGTGAATGATTTATTTTCTTGATTTAATAACATATATTAGACTATAAAATATACTTTTGATTCTCTAATCTTAATACCATTAGTTTTAAATAATTATTCTTTATATCAATTATGATTATTTGTAAAATTAAACTTAGCATGTCAACACTTAAAAATATTTTATTAATATTAAAAATTTAATGTATAAATTTTTTGTTGATAAAAAATGATGTCAGAGTTAAAAAAATTAAAAAGAATTATAAAATTGAAGGATTAAATTAAAATTTTATATCAAATTAAAAAATTAAAAATATATTTTAACTTATATACTAATGTATACTGCTATTCCCACTATTGCAATAAATTCGAATGCTACCCCCTTTATTTCAAAATAATTCACTTTAGAGTTTCGATACTGTTTTTAAAATAATAATCATTTTATAATTTTTAAAATATTAATTATTTTTATATTATTTTACCTGTCGTTGAAAAGATAGAGCTAGATAGGAATGGGATGGTTTTATTCAAATATCATTAGATTTTAGTTTTTTTAAAATCTGTAATTTTTTAAAAATATCAAATTCATTAAAATGAAATGAAATACATAATAAAAAACTAAATTCAATAGATATTAATATGGGTTTTGTGTCCTAAAAATATTAAATAAAACAAACACAAAACAACAATAAGAAAAAAATTTTGAATCTGTAATTGGGAGAGATCCTTAATATTTGAGCATAATCAATAATAATAGTTGAATCTCACTCTATAATATTATATTTTTAATAAATATAATACTAAAAATAAAGATGATTCATTGCACTTCCAAAAAAATATTTTTTTATAAAAAAAGTTACATACAAGTTAAAATTTTTGAATTTGTACCCTCCAAAATAAATCTGAATAGTTAATTCATAAAAATTATAAAAATATTTTATATTAAATTAAGACCATCCAAATTAAATCTAGATAATTTAGATTAATGATGAGAAAATTTATAAATTTTTTTAATAAATATAATTATAATTATAATTAAAAATTTTAAATTTAAACCGTTCAAATTTCACGGAGGATGAGCACAGAACAAGATGTATTCATTGGGTGACCTTTATGGATCCTCGTTGGCACCCATCATACCACTCCCTTATTCCAAAACTACCCTCATTTTTTTTTTTTGTATGTATATTTTCAGCCTTTTAGACGTTCCCTTCCTTCCTCCATTTTCCTCATCGCCGACGACTCTTCAGTATCACCACCACCATGTTTTCCTCATTTTTGGACTCTTCGCTTTCACCACCCATGTATCTGAAAGCAGTGCAGATCAGAGCTTGGAGCCGACGAAGACTTAGATATATAATAAGGTGGAAGACAGAGAATGTGATTTCAAGGGGTTGGATTGAGTGAGATCATGGGGTTTCAAAAGCGAAGCCGTATATAGTTGCTTGATGAGCATGCATCTTGCTGGCAGTGAACGTCACAATCTTGTTTTTTGACTTGTTGATTTCCATATTTCTTTTATTAAACTTGTGTTAATTGTGTCTCCTGATCATTTTGTTGTATATATGGTGGAAAAAGACAAAGCTACATGAGAGGGAGTATATTTGAGAGATATTTTAGACTTTTTATTATTTTTTAATTTAATTATGTTTTTTACAATCTTCTTAGTAACAAACCAAACGTTACTCATAATAATTAGTATCGCATTGCATTATAAAGAGGATGTGTAATTGAGCCAAATGAGTCTGAAATGACAATTTGTCTTGGTTTATATAATCTAGCCTGTCCTTTCTAATTGCCAACAAATTAAATGATTAGAATGGACTTCTAACATCTATTAATTATTGAATTAGAGACTAAATAATGATAGATGAAATTTGAGTCGTTTGGCTATTGCTCTTTCTAATTCTATTTATAAATTACTTTTAGTATGTTTTATCGGAATCAAAGAGAACATTAAATTTTATTAACTGTCTTAAATTTTAATAAATTTTTACCTTTATCCCTAATAAATATTCTTAAACCTCATTATTAAAATTTTTATTCAAAGTATTTAATAAGAGCAAAAATATAAAAATGAGCATTAAAAATTAACAAGTACTTTATAAATAAAATTAAATTTTTTTTCTCTCTTCCTTGAAATATGACCAAAACGTCGAGTATCTCTTTTTTTCAAATCAGGTTTTGAGTTAAAATATTATATATTAAAAAATTACAATTTTAAAAAAAATTGATATTTATATAGTCTAACCTAACTCGTTTAAGATTTTTCAAAAATTTTGGAATTATTTCATTAATTATCTTTTTCTCCTTTGTCATTCTCTTGCTTGATTCACATGTGCATTTATTTGAACACGATTTGCTTCAGTTACTTCATACCCCACTTTATGACATTGACAAATAGTCAACAATTTACGCGAAACCTCTCTTTTCTTCCTTTTTCCAAAATGACATCTAGTTTTCTTCATCCAAAAAACCCAAAAATAAATTAAACTTGACCTCCTGCACAATTAATGTCTCCAGAAATTAACTTAGCTATGAAGGAGAAAAAGAAAATTGTTCGAAGAAATTAATTAAAATCTTAAAACAATGACTAAATTAGAGCCAAAGCGCACCAGCATCTTTCAACATAGGAGCCAATTCACCCGAGATATGAGTGGCCATCACTCTCTCCAATCCTCCGAGCAACTTGCCGCCCACAAACATCGCCGGAAACTGCACCGTGCCGCCATTGCTGCTACAGGCAGCATCCTTCATTGAGAGCTCGCCGGCCACTGCGGCGGCTTCGTGATCGTCGTGAAGGTCATAAACCGTAGGATTGACGCCAAGAGATTGAAGCAAGCGTTTGATGACGTGGCACATGCAGCAGCCACGTCTTGCTATTATGATCACTGCGTTCTCTGAAACCATTCTCGCCACCTTGTTCGCGGGATCCACGGCGACGTCGTTTGACGGCAATGATATGTCACGTAAGCCGGCACGTGAACCAGCGGGGATTGCTTGCTGCATCGTGTGTGGAGAGGGAGGGAGGGAGGGAGGAGAGAGAGAGAGAGAGAGAGAGACAGGCTCGTTAGTGTCTGTGAGATGGTTAACGGAGGGGAGGTGATTAAATGGGAGAGGACAGGAGTGGGAATGTTGGAAAAGTTAGGAAGACTCTAACGTCAATGTCAGTGACGCTTATGGTGCATCACAGGCAAAATTTTTGACTGTGTCATTGCGTCACCGTCACTAACACCGTCCACAGATTGTAAGGAGTTAGGATGAGTGTTATTAATATTGATTAATGATTATCCTTTTGTTGACCAAGAAACATTGTGGCCCTTCTTCTACCCGGACTTAGTTATAAAAAAACGATAAAAAAATTCTAAAAGAATTAATTAATTTTAATTAAATTTTAAATATTAAATTTTAAAAATATATAATTCAATCTCTCAATTTTATAATCGTGTTATAATAAATTTATAATTTATTTTTTAAATTTTAACATAATTGAAGAATAAAAACTTTATTTTTATTAAAATTTAATACAAGTTGTATTAAATGATGGGTATTTTTGAAAGTTTATATTTTTATTATGATATTAATAAAAACTTTAAATTTATTAAAATTTTAAATACAAGTTGTAAATTCATCATAATAGAATTGTAAAATTAAGATATTAAATTATAAATTTCTAAAATTTGATATTTTAGATCTAACTTGAATTAGTTGATTCTTTTCAGATTTTTCTATCCTTTTCCTTTAATTATACTGCAAAAAAGAAAATTTTTTATTCTATTTATAAATCATATTATTAATTTTTATCATAAATTTTTTCTTTTGCTTTTTATTATATGTTAATAAAAATAGTATGTTATTAAAATATACATATTTAATAGAGACAATTTAAATATAGTCAATAAGTTTTAACATGATAAGAACAAATACTACACTTGATCTTAACCAAAAGGTTGAGAAAGGTATTGATAAATTTTAAAACTTTTCTTGATTACAGTAAAATTTGTTGGGGATAAATTATAAATAGAATCAAAGAAATAATACAGTATATGGATATTTATATTGATTACACTTAACAATTTTTGTTAATAAAAATTTCAAAATATACTCCCTTTTTTTTCAAACTATTTATTGTTAAAGATTATATGCACCTAGACTTAAAAAATTGAAATTATTAAACAATGCAGTTTGTAGCAAAATTTGATAGGATTAAATTAAAATACTTTTATTTATTTATTTTCCTTTTCATGGTAAATATTTGTTACATATATCAATATACTCTCTGATCTCATATGTGTGTGTAAGCAAAAATAATTGTTTCGCATTGTTTAAAATGGTTCGTTGTTCTTCTTAATTATATCTGAATTTGAATTTATTTTTTATCAAATATCCATGTTAGTAACTATGGTTATTTATTGCAACAATTTTAATTACTCCCCTCTTCTCATTTTGAATGAGGAACACAATTGGAAACATGAATTAATTGCACCTAAAATTAGGTGGTTTTTGCTTATATTTAACACTAAAAAATTAGGTAGGTTTTCCTTTCCATAATTTAGAGACCGGGGGCGAGCATTTAATTACTTGTTAATGAATGGAAAAAATCGTATAAAAATAATAATTAATGTTTCCTTCAAAATTTAAATTTCCAGGTCATTTAAAATGAAATCAAAACTATGAAGTGACAGGGATTTTTGAATTATATAAAGACAAGCTAAATATTTAAAATAGTAAGCATGGCTGAACCCCTTAAGTGATGATAACAGGTGATGTAATTGTTTTCTGGCCGAAAAAGGTGAAGTAAGTAAAAATCGAAAAAATGTCATTATTTCTTGGAGTAAAAAATTATTTGAAATTAAAGGTTATAAAAAGAGGTAAAAGATTATATTTTTACACTACCTATACAGTTCAATTTATTCAATTTGATTTTAAATACTTATATTAAAACTAGAAAAACTTTCTTGAATTTAATTATTTATTTATACTTTAATCTTAATTATTATTAAATTAGATAATGGTTTTTATGTATCATATGTGATATTGGATTTAAATAATATAATCATGTGAGCTTCATGACAAATTCTCTTGGACTGTGGTAACCCACAAAATAAAAAAAGTTGAAAAACATGCGGGGATCAATATAAACGTTACTCTTTCAGCTTGAGAAAGAATTAATCAATAATTTCCAGGAATATTATTGAGAGTAAAAAAGTAAATTAACCTCTAAATTATAGATCTGAGAGCATACAGGAACTTAAATTCATTCTTAATATAATATCTTTTTTAACTTTTAAAAACAGTATAATCTATTACACACCATTAATAAAAGTTAATTTTGAATATTAGTTAATCAAAAAATGATATAATATAATCTCAAAAATTATAAAAAAATCAATCAAATTTTATTGATACTTTTTGTAATTTTTGAGTCCTGTACTCTTTTTTTTGTTATTTTTTATAATTTTATTATTATTTTCAAAAGTTAATAAAAAATATTATATAAAAAAATGGATCCAAATGCTCTTAAATCTATAATTTAAAGATTAGTTTATCATTTAACCTTATTATTTAATCCTGTCAAGCACATTCTTAATATAATGGATTTGAAATCATTGGAGATTTCTTTTTCTGGTGATGACAAATATATTTTTTACTTGATCTTGGTCGGCGTCCAACACAACACGCGCACACACATGATTAGTGGATTGGGTTCAGTCAAGTTCTAGAGACGGTAGGTTAGGTTCGAACTGATTTACATTTTAAGTTATTTACATACAACAAGGGACGTTTAACCAAATTTATTTACGTTTAAAGTTCTTAACTTTTTAAAATTTTACTGCCCCTCCTTTATTGAAATTTATATTAGAGTACTAATTTAATATTAAATTTATGAAAAAAATAATAAAATTGTTTCTCCTTTAAATTAATATAAAAATTTTTTTACTTTACTTATTCATTTACTTACATAATATTTTTAATTACCCTACTTAATTTGTTTTTATTTTAAGTATTTCAATCATTTTAAGGCAACTTATTGATTCTTATACCATATGTTATTTATTTACTTACAAACTATTATTAATTGTCCTACTTCACTTGTTAATTACCAAACTTTTACTTGACTTAATTTTAGGAAAATAAATAAGTGAAGTAAGATAATTAATAACATTCAGTAAGTAAATGAATAAATAAAGTGGGGAGATCTTAATATTAATTTAAATGAAGGTTAATTTTATTATTTTTCTTAAAATTTAATATTAAATTAGTACCTCTAGGCTGCAGTAAAATTTAAAAAATTTAGGGGATTTGAATGTAAGTAAGTACAGTTGGGACATTGAATTGTAAATCTGTAGAGATTGTCGGGGTTATGATTCAAAGAAAAATCAATATCCTTTGCCTGCAAGAAACAAAATGGCGTGGAGAAGAAGCTAAGGATATTCAAGGTTTCAAACTTTGGTATACAGGAAAAGTAAGTGCACGCAATGGAGTAGGCATCATTATAGATAAGGAGTGGAAGAAGAACGTTGTAGAAGTTAGCAAAATTGGAGATAGAATTATTTCCTTAAAAATGATAATTGGACGTGAGACTGTTAATATTGTTAGCGCTTATGCGCCACAAGTCGGGACAGAAGCTAGTCTTAAGGAATTATTTTGGGAGGATCTGGAGGGGTTGATTTGACACATACCACAGAGTGAAAAGATTTTTATTGGAGGGGACTTTAATGGGCATGTCGGTAGGGAAGCTGGTCAGTATGCGAGGGTGCATGGTGGTTTTAGTTTTGGAGAGCTAAACAATGAAGGACAAACTCTTCTTGATTTCTCATTGGCGTATGATTTTAAGATTGCCAACACTTGTTTCAAGAAGAGAGATGAGCATCTCATCACTTACAAAAGTAGAGCCTCAAGGTCACAGATTGATTTTCTTTTGGTTAGGAACACAGATAGAAGACTTTGTAAAAATTGCAAGGTGATCCTCGGAGATGCTGTAACGACACAACATAGGGTCCTAGTCCTTGATGTGTGTATTATGAGTAAAATCCAAAAACGTCGACAAGTAGTAGCACCAAGGATTAGGTGGTGGCAATTAAAAGGTGAGAAGCAAGATATTTTCAAGCGAAATCTTTTGGATAAAGGAATTCGGGAATCTCAGGGAAGTGCTAATATCATGTGGGAGGATATGGCTAAAAAGATACGGGAGGTTGCAAAAGTACTTTTGAGAGAATCAAAAGGTTCTGATCCGAGAGATAAGGAGTCTTGGTGGTGGAATAATAGTGTACAGGACAAAATCAAGTATAAGAAGAACTGTTTTAAAGCCATACATTTGTGCAATAATAAGGAAAATTGGGGAGGGTACCGTATGGTTAAGAAGGAAACTAACAGAGCTGTGGGTGAAGCTCGTTCTAAAGCTTTTGAAGAATTTTATAAGAGCCTTGAGACGAAGGAAGGAGAGCGAAATATTTATAAGATTGCCAAGAGTAGGGAAAGAAAATCAAGAGATCTAGAACAGGTAAGGTGTATTAAGGATGAAGAGGGAAGAACTTTAGTTACAGATGATGAAATTAAAAATAGATGGGAGATTTACTTTTCTAAACTTTTCAATGATGGAGAGGGTTCATCTAGTAACTTGGACGATTTAATAACTGGTGAAGGAGAACAAAATTTGTCATTCTATCGAATAATACGTGATAAGGAGGTAAAGGAAGCTCTTAAGAAAATGGCAAATGGTAGAGCCAACGGACATGATTGTATATCTATCGAAGCGTGGAAATGTTTAGGTGAAGAAGGGATGAGATGGTTAACTAAGTTATTTAATGTAATTTTATGGTCCAAGAAAATGCCTGATGAGTGGAGGAGAAGTACATTAATTCCTATTTATAAAAATAAAGGAGATATTCAGAATTGTACTAACTATAGAGGGATTAAGCTCATGAGCCACACAATGAAATTGTGGGAGAAAGTAATTGAGCACAGGTTGAGATTAGAGACAAGTATTTCTAAGAATCAGTTTGGTT